AGGGCCTCTCTGGCAGTGCAAGGAGTTAAGCGTCAGCACTATGAAGCAATTCACAGCCACTGAAGCACACATGGCACAACAGACCTCTCCTGATTTGCCCACTGCTCCCCTCAGCAGGGTATTTCAGTAGATCTGCCTGTTCTACTCCCCACTCTGTCTCTGGTGAATCCTCTCACCACCCCCCACTCCGTCTCCTGCACCTCTGGCCTACACCCCAGCTCTCATATGCATAAATAAATAAATACTTTTAAAAAAAGAATTTGAATCTGCTGAAAATAAAAATTAAGCTAAAATACCCAAGCAATGAAAAAACAGAATAAAAGCAAATATCCAGTAACACGTGTTAAACTGAGAAATTAAGTCCGCATGTTTTATGATTACCTCGAGTTTCTCCTTTTTGTAGCATGTGCTCAGGTAAAACTTGTTTGATGTCTTGCATCCTTGCTAGACAACAAGCCCCTGTTGACAAGGACTCTAACTATCTCTTTTATTGCCATATTCCCAAGTACAGAGCAAAAAAGTCTTGAAAATATGTCAGGAAGTTTTTGCTCAGCCACTGCTAGAACAAAGCTTTAGCAATCGAACACAAAATATTTATTCAGATCCCTAGCAGCCCATACAAAGAGAGAAGCAGGCAAATGGTCTTGGCTTATGTCTGTCCATATTCTAGGATTAACCTCTGTCTGTGATAAGGTGGGGGGTGGGGCGGGAATAACTAGCTAAGACAGTCAGTCTAGATACCTCTTTGTCAGGCCTGGAGGAGCAGAGTTCAGGGTCCTTATCTCTGGCCTGGGTTTCCAGGCAGGACTTCGGCCTCTTGGAAAAACATAATCACAGAGGAACTGGTTTCTCCTGGGATTCCCAGATGATAAAGCATCAAACGCAAACCTTGGTACTTGTTTTGAGGATTTAGGAGGTGGCAGAACTCTGTTGCTAGTTTTTGGTTAGTTCTAGAAAGAGGTGAATGCTAATGAGCTCAACTTCCCACCTTCAGCACTGGTTCTAGTGTCTGGGGAAGGGTCAAGAGTATGATGTGTTGTGAACACTTTAGGAACATTGAATCGGGTAGACCACTGAAAATCCTAAGGGTGATTCCAAAATAGTTCTTTCATCTCATAATATATCTTACTGAGCCATAGTGATATGGGAAAATAATATAAGAATGATAAAGTAGTAGAAAGATAAGATATACTGCAACAAAGCTTTAAATCCTGACATACTGATGTACATAACAATGAAGAATACTCAGAAAGTGCCTAGTCAAACTAGCTTCCCCTCCGCTGTGTGCAGGGGAATTGCTGCTGCTACTCTCCTGCATCCTTTGGGCTCCCTCTGGTGGCATGCTAATCCTCAGGGAATACTGAGCATTTTCAAGAATTTTCTCTTCTAAATTAAAAAAAAAAAAGCTTTTGAAATTTTTTCACTAAAAAGTTCTTTTTAGCTGACCATTCTTAAATATTCAAATAAGTGAAAAATGAATTCATCAGAAAACAGATGCCAGAAACAGACATATGGGTATATGGTGATCTGATTTAAGACTGAGGCAGCCTGAAATCAAGAAAGAAATACAAAGGAACCAAAGAGTGGGCAAATGATATGATTAAATATTTTGCTAAAGGAGAGGCAATTATGGCTAATAAACATCTGGCAAGAGTCAACCTCTTTGGTGATCAGAGAAATATAAGCTACAACAAGTGAGAAAGTGTTTCAGACCTATAATACTGGCAAGAGTTTAAAAATTCTTGGTCAACTTTTTATGTTGGGGAGGTAGAAGAGTCACAGAAATTCTTATGACCTTCCAACTCAACTGAAAATTTGATGATTCTGAGTAAACTTTCTGTGTTTATAAGTTGAAAATACCATTTCTAATGATGTACTCCTAGGTACTTACTTAGAGGAATGTTGGTACATATACCAGTAGGCATATCTAGGAGTTTCTTAGCTGCACTGTTCGTGATAGTAAAAACTGAAATCATCATCAAAGGATAAAACTGTGGTTTGCTGAAAGGATAGAATGCTATACAGCAATGAAAAGAAAGAACTACTGCTGTGAGCATGTACATAGATGAGAATCTCAACAATGCTAAATGGGTGAGGAGAAGTTATCACTTAAAAATATTTAGAGTATGATTCCATTATATAAAGTCAAGAACAAAACTAAAATAACAGGAACATATCACATAGGTTATAAAAAGTATCTTCAAAGTTGAAATGCTGGGCCTCTCTGGTGGTGCAAGGGGTTAAGATGCAACCTATGAAGCTGTCCTCAGCCCCTGCAGCACAAGTTCAATCCCCGGCCAAGTTGCTAACACACACACACACACGGCACAGCAGATCTCTCCTGAGTCGCCTGCTGCTCCCCTCAGCAGTGTATTTCAGTCAGTCTGCCTGTTCTGCTCCCCACTCTGTCCCTGGTGAATCCTCTTACACCACACTTCTGGCCTGTACCCCGGTTATTATATGCATAAATAAATATATTTTTTTTTAAAAAGTTGAAATGCTGTTCATTCCTCAGTGCTGTTCATACATACTTACTGTGTTTTACTCTCATTGGTATGATATACGTCACAGTAATAAAATAAAATAGAAAGTATATATTTGATTCTATAACCTGTAAAGTAGGGATTACCCCTTTGCCCTTCCTTGTTCTGTGTTTCACGTCATTGAGATTACCCTTCCACATGTGGTTTACGTAACAACCAGATCCCCTGCTCAGACAATATCAAGACTTCCTATTCAGCACAGTATAAAGTGCAGTCACTGCAGATAACAGAGGATTCAAGGTCCTCGTATGTCTGACTCCAGCTGACCTTTCTCATCTTGCTTTTCTCTGTGTCTGTTGCAGTCTCTTTGTTCCACTCACTAATACCAAAATGCAATATGAATTTTCTTAGTTCTTGGTCTTTGCTTCTGTCATTCTTACTATTTATTAGTCTTCACTCTAAAAACTACTTTTTATCACCATCAAACTACTTACCAGCAATAGTTATTTTTCATTTTTCAAGTAAGCTATCTTTATAAATATGTCCTAAAGAACAAGAGTCATATCTAAAGCAACAGACCTCCGTCTTAAAAGAAAAGTGCAGATACCAATGCATTTACTTGCAATTATCTGTGATTGTCCTTCTAAAAGAATAGTCTTTTATTTGAGTTGAGCTTATCATATTTTTGAAATATAATTACAGAATTAGAGACCGTGACTACTCTTAGTACTCTTAAGAACTATAATAAAATTATAAATGCTTGGTATTTGTATGGCATGCTGTGGGTAACAGACATTCAGTTGATTATCATGTATAAAGACTAGAAAATGTCTCTCATTTTAAATATGAGAGAGGTGTTAGTCAATAAAAAGTTATAATTCAAAAGATTGGTTTAAATTACTGCATTAGTAATAGAAATGAAAATGGCAACAATAATAATATCCTCAACATGAAAGACTAAATATCAGGACCTGAATTTTTCCTGTAACCTGATCAATTTACTTAATGTAGAAGTTTACTAAACCAAGGTGGATTTAGTCAACAAACATTTGCTGTCCACCTGCAAAAATGCAAGGTAACGTTTTAGGCACCAACACAATTACAAAGATATAAATATGATATGGTCTCTGCGTTTAAGAAGCTTACAAGGTAGGTGAGAGTATCTACTAGAATTTTACACCAGGTACTGTAATAGCTTTTGTATGTGGGCCAAACACTAGACACCATGTTCTCAGTTAATACACCAGAAAAAACCTAGTATTTCCCCTTTGCCATTAAAGTAAAACTAATTTACCATTCCATTCAGTAAATTAGTAAGTACGTGAAGGTGGAGAGAACACTCTGACCTATATTAGTGTATTGTTTTTCATTTCAACAACATGAGTTCTCTCGCTAGAAACTTTAAATGAATATTCATTTACAATATTTATTCCTCTTGATTGAAATGATAGCAGATGATTAATGAGTTTCACACCACAATTAAAATGAAAAGCTCTTCCTTCCAGATGAACAGGAATGTCCAGATGTTAACAAATCTGAAACCTACACCAAATCAGAGAACTGATCGCACCAACCCTAAGTCAATGGTAACCCCTTTGCAGATGTGTCTGATTCTAGGAGGTCAGTACCGCTGCAAGTCTGAGCGGGAGTATTAGTACAACATGCAGCTACACAAGTCTTTGAACTTAACATTTGCTGTGAACAGTGTGCATTTTTCAGCACATATCTTCTGTCTTTTAGTTTTATTACTCTTATAAAAGAAACAATTATCTGAAGTCTCCTTTCAAGTTCTGACACATCGCATATTCTACTGGTTTTACCCTCCAACACAGTCTGTGGCAGCGCCTGCGATCTGCGCCAGTCTGGGCTAGTTTGACCTCTTGCTTGGTCACCACCGTCATCCTGGGGTCTCTTCACTATCCTCTTGGTGACTCCTTCCACCTCTTCCTTACCTTTGCTCTCCTGTGTCCAGTGTGTAAGTCATTTTCATTTATGGTTATACTTTTGTTTTAGTGAAGCACATTTTCCAGTCACTTCTGAAGAAAAATGCAAAGGAGTTTTGTTTTATTTTGTTTGGTTTTTGAGTCTTTGCATGTCGAAAACATGCTTCTTCCCTTTGTATGTGATGTGTCAGGAATAGGACCCTCCCCAGAGGCAGGAAAATGGGGCTAGAGTAAATGAATGTAGAGTTGGGAAACTTATAAGAGAGTTGAAGTCCAAACGTTCAAGAGTGGATTCCAGAAGACTGGCCAAATACACTTAACTGAAATGAGATGCTGAAAACAGAAACTGAAAACCTTAAATTGGCAAGTTTACATTCCTGCCCCACTTTCACCCTACATCTATAGAATGAGAACTCAAGAGGAAGTTCAAGTCAGTCATAGTAAATGAAGAATTGTACTTTGGTGCATCTGAGTCTGGGATGTGTTCCAAGTTGTCCTCTCCTTGTATATTTTTGAATACTTTTACTTTCATAATCAGAAAAACCAATGCCTTTTTTTCTATTTTGTGGCACAGTTATGTGGAAAACAAAAGGAAATTGTGAAGACAAACATTTCTGAGGTACGTAACAGAATGTCTGATCCAGGGGTGATGAGAGAGAATGGTGGTAAACAAGAGGGAGGCTCTCTGATAAATGGCAGGTCAGGGGATCCAGCTGTTCTGTGGAACATGGTTTGACGTAGCAGAGGTCTCTGACCCTGGACAGAAAGAATCACCATGGTTTTTCAAAGAGCAACATGAGGATATAGTAACTTTATTTTGTCACTTGTTTTCCTCCTAGCAGAGGAGGACCCTCTTCCAACTCTCCTGTCTGGAGATAGAATACAGAGCCAAACTACCTAACGGCCATCTCACATTCTGTTGTCTGAAGATGGAAACTTTTGAGAAGATGTCTTTCTCACTTTATTGAACCCTGTTTTCCTCCATACTCCATTTTTACCTGGATCCTATAATTGCTAATAAAAATTCCACTGATTAGAAACCCATGACAGTCTATTTCTCTTTTTTCATGTAATCGGCGTCCTGTTCCTACCTCCCACTTCTCCTCACTAGGGATAAAGACTTTCTCATTATCTTTGATTTCTGCAATTTAACTCCAGGGTGTCTTTGTTTAGTTTGATGCCATTTATCCTGATGAAGCTTCACCGGAATTTTTCAGTGTTAGAATTCACGTCTAGAAAAATGTTCTACCATCATCTTTTTTTAATTGCTTCTCCCCCATTTTCTTTACTTTCTTCTCTTGAAGTTTTTATGAGGGACACATTGGGGTTTCTCAGCCTGTTTTTCATATTTCTTAAATTCTCCTTTGTGTATTCTCTTTCTTCTCTCTCTGTGCCACCTTCTGGCTGACTTTCCCCCACATCTTTCATTCCCTCTGTTCTTTTTCACAATGTCTCATCCTCCCCCATCCCTTCCCCCCAGAGTTTCCATTGTTCCCTCTGTGGAGATGACAATGAGACTTTTGTATGGCTCCCTGACTTCGGTGTCTGGATGCTTGTCTCACTTATTATGTGTTGGCTCTGCTTATTCTTTCCCACAGATATCATTTTCTTTCTAATTTTTCACTGTGCTCATTTTTTGGAGTTAGTGTATTGTGAGAATTCTATGTGCTCTGCAGATATGCTTACAGGGTCATTTTCCTTTATTTGGCTTTGCTAGGGTCTGTCGAGTCCATGGGTTCTGTTTGACTCAGGGTTTTGTTTGTTTGTTTCAATCTCTGTTTGTTTTGTTACCTTGAAGGCAAATTTTTACCCACAGTCACTCCCAGAAAACTTTAGCTTTCGATTTCTCTGGTGACTCCTTTTCCATCAATGGCCTCGCCAGTTGGCCGATTCCCAATCAGGTTTCTACGCTACCAGTGAGTTAGAGTTTTTCTTTTCCTTCTTTTGCAGACAGAGCTTCTCCTGGCTGCTGTCTTTCTACAGAGTTCATTCACAGTTCTTCTCGGTGTGGGAGTCTGTGGGTGTCTCAAGTCCTGTGTCCTAAGGGCTTTTACACTCTAGCTCCTTGGGCTTCTTTCACTTCTGATCTTTGAGGAACATCTGACTGTAACTCAGGGTCACAGCTCTGGCTTGAGGTTTCTCTTCATATATTGGCACTGGGAATTTCCAGGTGGAATTTATAAAGAAAGGAACTAGGAAAGTTAAGGCTAGCTGGCAAATAAGTGGGTTTAAAAAAAAAACAACTCCATTTAATTTCACTGCACTTCTAACATGTACTTATTATGCTGTTTAAGATTTAATTTCAAATAACTAATGGTCTATACTCATTTTTAAGATTTTCTAGTTTACATAGACTTTTTTTTTTTTTCAGTGAAACTTATCATTTGCTCATTGATTTTACAGACCCACAAAATGTCCAGTTAGGGAGAGTGGGTGTTAGTGAAAATGTGGCCTAGTGGACAGAATCAGGCTTAGTGTCAGGCAGCTGAGTCCACAAGCTGGCTTTGGCACTTAGTGCTAACTCACCTTGGGTAACTTGCTTTATCTCTCAAGCTAATGAGTTTCTCCATTTGCAAAGTAGGCATAATAGTACTCATCTAATATAGCTGCTGAGAGGATTAAAAGTGATCATAGGGCCTCCCTGATGGCACAGGGGTTAAGTCTGAGCACTATCAAACTATGGCAGCCACTGTAGCATGAGTTAGATTCCCAGCCAGGGAGCTAACCCACATGGTGCAGCAGACCTCTCCTGTCTTGACCCTTGTTCCTCTCAGCAGTGTATTTCAGTAGCTCTGCCTGTTCTGCGCCCCACTCTGTTTTTGGTGAATCTTCTCACCCCTGTGCCTCTGGCCTATACCTCAGTTCTTGTATGCATAAATAAATAAAAATAAATCTTTTAAAAATAAATAAATAGGGCCTCCCCGGTGGCGCAGCAGGTTGAGTGTGGAGCTGTGAAGCTGTCCACGACCTCTCCGGTGCTGGTTCGATTCCCAGCCAGCCAGGGAGAATCCCACATTGTGCAGCGGACCTCTCATCTCACCCACTGCTCCCCTCAGCAGTGCTTTCGGTCTGTCTGTCTCTTCTGCACTTCGCTCTGTCTCTGGTGAATCCTCTCACCCTCCCACAACTCTGGCCTGTCCCCCAGCTCTTGTATAAATAAAATAAATCTTAAAAATAAATAAATAAAGCAACTATATCTTTTTTAAAAAGTGATCATAGGGCCTCCCGGGTGGCGCAAGGGGTTAAGTACCGCACTGTGAAGCCACAGCCTGTGCAGCACAAGTTCAATATCTGGTCGGCCAGGGAGCAATCCACATGGTACAGCAGACCTCTCCTGACTTGCCCACTGCTCCCCTCAGCAGTGTACTTTGGTCAATCTGCCTGTTCTGCTCCCCATTCTGTCTCTGGTGAATCCTCTCTCACACATACACATACACACCCCACCCCCGCCTCTCTGGCCTGTACCCCAGCTCTTGTATGCATAAATAAATAATTTTTTTTTTAAAAAAGTGATCATTGGGCCTCCCCGGTGGCGCAGCGGTTGAGCGCTGGGTTGCGAAGTTGCCCGCAGCCTCCGCGGCGCCGGTTCGATCCCCGGCTGCTTCCCCGGCCACCGGAGGAGGGTCCCACATGGCGCGCAGACCTCTCCTGCCGCCCGCTGCTCCCCTCAGCAGTGTACTTTGGTCCTTCTGCCTGCTCTGCTCCCCGCTCTGGCTCTGGTGAATTCTCTCACCCTCCCGCGCTTCTGACTGTACCCAGTGCTTGTACAAACAAACAAACAAACAAACAAACAAACAAATAAATAAATAAATAATAAATCTTTAAAAAAAAAAAAAGTGATCATAGCCATTAATAGTGATTGAGTGTTTGCAGTGTACACAACACTGTGCTGGTGCTTCCCTGGACTCTTTTAATGGAAGTGAAAATTTTTAGTCCAGTGCCTGACACACAGCAAAGGTTCAAAAAGCAAAGCTATGAGTCTCGTGGAAATTACCTCATCCTAACAAGTCTTTGATGTGCTTGAGACACCCTTCACCCCACCCCTCCCCGACCATTAGCCAACAAGCCTCAGCTTGAATACAGAGCAGTTCTAACTTCGGAGTCAGTCTCTGTAGATTCAAATCTGCCACTTTCTGGCTGTGGGGTCTTTGCAAGCAAGTTCAGTTCCTTATCTGTGAAATGAGGATAACAGCAATTCTTCCTAGGGTGATTTTGAGGACAAAACACGCTAATTCATAGAATAGTACCCCATAACTCGCCAGTATGCAAAGAAGTCCTAGTCAAGTCAAGGAGTCAGTAAGTCGTTGTCACTATTTCTAATATTACTAGAACTTTGTTATCTTGTTGTATTATTAGCTTGTTGTATGATTAGAGTGTCACAACATTTCAAACCTTGTCAATTGGAACTGAAATCTGCCTCTCTGTGGCATCTACCAACTGATTTTATTTTTGCCTTCTGATATACCCAATGAAAATCTGATTCCATTTTCACAGAATAGGACTTTAAACTTCTTTCCTCCAGAATAAACACCTTGGTTTCTTCAAGCATTCTCCACAAACCTGGCTTCGAGCCCCCTCATTAACTGAATGGCCTTCCAAGAGCAGGGCTCAGTGTGTAAATCCCCTGCAGAGGGCAGCCTCCCTCTCATCCCAAGCATTGGCGAGCTTGGGCTATTATCTTCTGCACATCACATGTATAATTAAACTATTATAACCATATCTGGTTTCTACTATAGACAGACAAACTCACTCCTAAATAGCACAATGCTCATATCTGTCAAATTTCAGCTCTTATTTTGCACCATTAGTTTAACCTTGTTAATCTGTTTGGATCCCTGAACTGTTGTCCCGTATTTAGCAGCCTCGTTTCATGTCATTTCCAAATTTGATGGTCAGGCTGGCAAAAGCATCTATTGAAAGAGAGTCTATTTTAAATATCTACGCCTTAGACACACATCAGTTCAAGTGGTGCTTTTGAGTAGTGTGACTATTGACTATTTTTCATTTCTTGCCTGTATGAATTTTAATCAAAATTGCACCTCATGTGGGAATTTGGAGTCACCTCAAATAGTCTCTTCTGAAATAAATCTATTAAAGCAAAAGTAAGTGAAGTGCCTTAATAATTAAAAATTAGCCATGTTATTAATTAAAAATTAATAATCTTAGAGTGTTTTTTGATGATGAGAGTTAACGAACATTGGAAAGAAGAGATATTTAAAATCTACTCTAGAGGATTAGTAAAAATATACTGATAGCCACAACTTCATTTGAATTCTTGATTTAAAAACTTTACTCTTCCATTATTTATTTACTTATTTTTTTAAGATTTATTTTATTAATGCATGCAAGAACAAGAGTGTAGGCCAGAGGTGTGGGGTGTGTGTGAGAGGATTCACCAGAGACAGAGTGGAGAGTAGAACAGGCAGATCTACTGAAATACACTGCTGAGGGGAACAGCGGGCGAGACAGGAGAGGTCTGCTGCACTATGAGGGATAGCTCCCTGGCAGGGGATCGAACTCATGCTGCAGTGGCTGGTAATAGCTTGATAGTGCTGAGACTTAACCCCTTGTACCACCAGAGAGGCCTTACTCTTCCATTATTTACTTAACTATGAAAAAGAGGAGAGCGTATTACCTTATTTTCTATTTATTTCTTCATTCACCATATGAAAGGACTAATTAACCAATAAATGAGACTAAGTCAGGAAGAAATGAGACATGGGTCTAATTATGTGCAAGCTCAGTAGACAGCCTCTGAGTAACTGAGCGTTCACTTGCATGACTTTGCATGACTCAGTGAGTCCCCAGCACTTGGAGTTCATCACCTCGGAGCTTGACAAGCTAAAGGTAGACTGTGTATGGGTGAAAAGGTCTGACTCCTAACCTCACCTGAGGATTCACAGAAGTTATATTGGGCAATCAAGAGACTCAGAGGGAGGATGGCTGAGAAAGTGCTGATTGGTCCAATTGTGCCTCCTGAATTTAATCCTCCACGCTGTCCTTAGAGTGCTCTAAGTGAATTGTAAATGGGACCCAGT